CAAATAACCCGCTTTAACTAGACGGGCGGATAAATGGCCCCGTTTCTCCTCAGCCCCGATGCGCCTGCTTAGCTGCGCGCCCCGCGGGCGCCGCAGCTCGGGTGGGCTCAGCCCCGGGGCCGCCGCCCCCAGACCGAAGGGACCCAGCAGGGCCCAGCCCAGGGCCGCGAAGAAGGGAGCGGCCGGAGGTGCCAGGGCCGCTTCATTGGGATTCATGGGCGTGTTGGGCGGGCGGCCCGGGGCTCCGGGCGCGGGGCGGGGGCTGGGCGAGGGGGGGTGCGCACGGCGGGCGCAGATGCCCGGGTGACCGCCGCGCCGCGGTCCCTGCGCCGCCTTTGTGCCGGGGAGGCGCGCGCGGGGACCTAATCCATCAAATTGTCTACAAATTGTGAAGAAAATTCAAAAACCATATGGTCGCCAGCGCCGGCGCGCTCTGGGCTGCGGAGGGCCGCGGCCGTGCCCGCACCGGGAGCCGCGGGGGGCTGGGCCCGGCTATTGTCGCCTGTCAGCGGCCGCCCGGGCCCATTCGTCCCGGCCTTCATGGTCCGCGCTCCGAATTACAGACCCATCCATCCTGAGAGAGGGCGATTTATGTCGCCCGGGAGGAACCGACCGAACGCCCGCGCGACTTGCCGGCCGCCTCCTTCTCTGGTCCCTCTGCTCTCTTCTCTCCCCTCTGCCTGCACTGTCTTTTCCTCCCTATCTCTGTCTCCGTTTCTCTTTCTAGGTCTGTAAATTTTCTTCTTTTCCACTCTCCTCCCTTTCCTTGGCTGTCCACCTTCTCGCTCTGCTTCTGGAGTGTCTTTCTTTGCTCCTTTCTTTTTCTTTTTTTCCCTTCCTCTTCTTTTCTTTCTTTCCCCCCGTTTCTGGCTGTCTCTTAGTTTTCCTCCTGGACACGCACGTTCCTGACTCGGGCCCGGTGGGGGGGGCATCGTCTGCCCGAGACCAGATGCGAATTTCTCACATCAATTTTGAGGAGAAAGAGAGCCGAGCGGCCCGGGGCGGGACCCGACTTTAGTGACAGCGGCCACTCGCCAGCCCAGAGACAACAAAAGCCAAGAGAGAAATCCTCTCAATCCGGGAAAGTGAAAGCGAAGTCCCAACCACTGTTAAGTCACCACAAACCTCAAAGAGTCCCTGTAAGATTCATGACTCTGCTCCCAACCAAGTTCTGGGCCCAGAATTTATGGACGTTACCAGAAATTTACCTTAGCTCCCACTTCGGGCTCACATCCCCCAGGGCCCTTGTGTGCAATTCAGCCCGCCCTTGTTGCTTTCAGACTCATTCTTTTTTATTCCTACTCTCCAAGGATGAGGCCTGGGGAGGGAGCAAAAGTTGAGAGCCCCCAGGCTCCACCTTGATGTCGTACTGAACGACACCTTCCAGAACACTTTGGACTTAGCCAGTGTCTCCGGGAGCCCAGGTAGAATTTGGGAGGAGGGGGCAAAACAAGTCTCTCTTCTCATCTTTCGCCCAACACAGTTAGTTTTGTGCCGTGACGCCTCCCACTTTCATTCGCGTTTTTCCCCAGTATCACATGTCTTGCTTTTTACCCCGACCTTTCGAAGCCCGTTTCTCCCCTCCACCCATTTAATAATGCGTGTTTATGGACAAGAAGCACCTCCTCCCAATGCTTCCTTCTAACCGCGCGATCTCATGCTTGCCCAGAAACTCCCCAAAATCTCCATGGCTGGGGTGGCCAGTGAGGAGCCACGACTAGAAGTTTAGCCTGCCGTGCTTCCCCGGTCGGGCCCACTCACTCAGACACGCTCACTGCCGGTTCTAGTAAAATGGCAAAGACTTTATTTATCGGAGAAAGAGGCCTTGGGAACAGTCCGCAGAGGAGAGGGCAGGGCAGGAGCAGGGGAGGAGCACGCGCGACCCACGCTCAATGAGCCATCCTTGTCTGGCCAAGTGGAGGTGGGAGCAGGGTGTTGGAGATGGCAAGACAGACTCAGAGCTGCAGAGGAAGTGGGGGTGAGGGCTTGGGTCGGCCTCCTCTCTGTCTCTGTCACATGCAAAAAAATTCTAAAAAGAGTAAAAAATAATTCTAGGGCTTTGGGTTCTGTTTTCGATGGTTGGTTATTGGTTGGATGTCCCCCTATTTTGTCCCTAAGAGCTGGACTCCAGCAATCTGTCCCAGAAAAATGCGAGAGGGAAAGAGGAATCTTAAAAATAGCATAAGTGGGTATTGGGAGGCAGAAATGGCATCGAAAACAGACTTCTCTCGCGGGGGTCGGGGGAGGTAAAATCGATTTAGAAACTTGCAAGTCAGGACCCAGCTGCCTCCCTTACCCCCTTCCCACGCGGGGGGAAAAAAAGGCAGAAGGAAATAAAAGAAGTCAACTGCAAACGGCCGAGGGAGGCGAGAGGGAGCTGGCTGGTGCATTCGCCACATGCAGAGAAAAATCAAAACAGCCTGAGCTACCCCCTTCTCTAGACCGCGCGTTAGTGTTCTGGATTCTGCCTCGCCCTCAGCCAACCCGGCAGCCCGAGAGCTTTGAAAAACATCGAGATCTCTGAGATTTAAAAAAAATAATAATAAAAGAAACGAAAAAAACAGGCTGCGGTGGGAAGAACCTGCTATATAGGTTTAAATATTTATACAGAAGCCATACAGAATTGCACGGCGAGGGCTCCCGGAGCGGCGGAAGCCGTGTATAGCAGCCCGCCCGGCGGCCAGCCCGGGTTTATTGCTTCGAGAGGGAAGAGGCGGCTGCTGGGAGCCGAGTCCGGGCCCTGGGACAAGGGAGGAGGCGGGAGTTGCAGAGGAGGTCCCAGCTCCCCTCGGCGGTCGGGTCCGGGAGGCGGCGGGTGTGCGGGCGCTTGGGGCCCAGGGCGGCGAAAGACACAAGGCGCTGCTCAATCGTCCACGTCGATCTCTTCGTCTTCCTCATCCTCCGAGCAGTCCTGGCTGCTGGTCCTCTGGTCCGTGAGCGGAGAGGCGGGCGAGAGCTGCAAGGGCCCGGCGCCCGGGGCCTGCGGGGCGCCTGGGGGGAGTGCAGGAGAACCCGGCCTCGACTTGGCCCTGCCACAGCCACCGCCACCGCCGCTTGCGGCCTCCGAGTTCTGCTCCAGTTCTGCCAGCGCCACGATGTCCATCTGCCCGCTGGGGCCCAGTTTCTTGGCGGACTCCACGTCGGCCTTCATCTCCTCCAGATCCCGCTTGAGCTTGGCACGCCGATTCTGGAACCAGGTGATGACCTGTGCGTTGGTGAGGCCCAACTGCTGCGCGATTTGGTCGCGATCTGCTGGGGACAGGTACTTCTGGTATAGGAAGCGCTTTTCCAACTCGTAAATCTGGTGATTGGTGAAGGCTGTGCGGGACTTTCGCCGCTTCTTGGGGGTCTGCCGCTGCCCAAAGATGGTCATCCCATCACGACCTGGAAAGAAATGACAGTATAGGCTCCCATCGGGAGAGTGGAGAACCCACCCTAGCTCTCACCCTTTAACTCCCCACACCACACAGGCCCATCAGGGCCTGCAGTCTATCCTCATTTCCCTTCCCCTATTTGACTCAGCTTCTCACACCAGAGCAAGCCTGAATTGTCACAAACCTCCTGTCTCTGGTCTCCTTGAAATCGCTAAGAAAATTTGTTTTGGTTTCTGCCTGCCACCTAAGACTTGGTTTGAAAGATTCAAAGTCTCTGTAAGCCAGAGGAACCCAGATAGGGACTCTGGGATCATAGTGTCAACACGGTGTTGGTTCCCCTTCTGCTTCCCMACTGCCGCCTGATACTATCCTACCCAGAAAATCGCAGCAAAAGGTTTTCTTGATTCCCCACCCAGAAGCGTGTAGGGCTAGGAGCGCCAGGCCACTGGGAATCTGGGAACCAGAGGGAGCCGAGYAGAGCATGCAGACTGGGGAGAGAGCTTGGGTTCCCACCACACTACTCAGATCACCCGGACTCTGGCCTACCCAGAGGTCTACAGGAAATAGGGATTGGGTTCTGTCCCACCTATCACCACTCCCAGCGGCAGCGACTCGGGCTGGAGGGCCCTGGCGACCGGCGCGGGAAGAAGTGGGCAGAGGCATAGGGCACAAAACAGAAGCGTGAGGCAAAGGGAAACCTAGCGGAGGCTCTTACCTTCAGCTGCCTGCAGGACGCTGACCTCGAGCCCCTTAAACGTCTTGCTTGCGAGCTCCTCCAGCGCGCACAGCGGCGAGGTCTGCGAGAGTAGCGCGCGGCCCGCCAGGGGCAAGCCGCCCGGCGCGTGCTTGTCCGCGGCGGCCAGCAGGTGCGCCGCCCCGCACAGCGAGTAACTTCTCCGCACAGACGGCTTATTGAGGATGTCCTCGATACTGAACGGCGTCAGCGGCTTGTTGGAGTTGGCGGGCGGTGGCAGGTGGTCTAGCGGGCTGCGCCGCCGCTCCTCCCCTGGCACCGCCTTGCCGTCCTCCTTGGAAGTCATCTCGGCCTCGTTTGGGGGCCCCGCCGGGGCGGCTCCGGCCGCGGGGACCCAGCCCGCGGGCAGCTCGGGCGCCGGGCGGTGCGAGCAGGCGGCGGCAAGGAGGCCGCGCCAGGCAGGGCGCGGACCGGGCACCGGACTGATTAGCGCGGTGGCTGAGGCAGGCTTAGACGCGCGGGGCCCACGAAGTAGAGCGCTGACGCGGGCGCCGCCKCAGCCGCCGCTGCTGCCCGGGCTTCCAGCAATCCGGGGCCGGAGCCGGGGCGCGCAGCGCGGGGCTCCAGTTTCGCCAGCCCCGGTGCTATTTAAAGGTATCAGGTGGCTCCGCGGCGGCTCCTGGCCCCGGGTCCTGGCGGCGGCAGTTGGAAAAGCCGAGGCAAGGGCGCCGATCCCGGACTGCGAGGGGAGGCGGAAAGACGGGGCAATTGACTATTGCTAACAAGTTAGCCTTGATCGAGGAGTAATCAATTATCTGCAGCTTCACGGCACTTCTCTTTCTCTTTGCTTTCTCCCAGTCTTTCTCCTCTCTTCTTTCTCTCTGTTCTCTCTCCCTGTCCTCTCTCCCTCCCTCCCTCCCTCTCTTCTCTCCTCTCTGCTCCCCCCTTCTCTCTCCTTCTCTACCTCTCCCTCGCCCTCTCTTTCACTCTCTCTCTCTCTCTGTCCAATGCAGGCGGCTCTAAGTTGGGAAGCTCATTAATTAGCGGGCCGGGGGTAGGAGGAGCCGGCTGGAATTAGCCTGCCTAATGCGCCTGTCAGTCCGGGCGCTGCGCCGCGCTCGGCCCGAGCTGTTTGTAAATTACATTAGCGGCGCCTTTATTGCACCCGAACCTCGGGCGACTGAAAAGCCACCGCCCCCACCCCAAACTGAGAGCCGAGCTCCGGGCGCACCCGCCTCCCGCAGGCCTGGTTGCGGTGGCAGCGCCAGCCCGGAGGTCTCAGGCTCTCCAACCCGGGATTTGGAGTCCGAGAAGGGTGGCGGGAGCCCCAACAAGGGAGGGACGCGGCCGCGGCGCGGGTCAGGTAAGAACAGGAGTCCGGGTGGGCCCGGTTCCGCCCACTGTGGACTTTGCCAAGCCGAAATCAAGAACCTAGCCCCATTCCCGGATCCTTGTCCCTCACCCCCAGCTCTGGGCCATGTGCTTGGAGAAAGGGAACCTGAAGCCCTCCTGGACTGGCGCGCAGGAGGTCAGAGCCAGCTTCACAGCCCTGGGTGGGCAACGCGGGACAGGGGTGGAGATTCCAGCGGTTGGGGGAGGGGGCCAGTCAGAGGGCTCAGCCTTCCCCATGCCAGGAGGCGGAGGGAGGAGTTGTTGGTGCTGTGAGCGCCTCTACCCCTGCCTGAGACCAAAGCGGCCACCCTACCTCCTCCGGCAATCTTGCACACTCTTTGCCTGGTCTGCGACTGGCTCTCCGGCCGGCTAGGGTACGACTCTTTTGATGATAGGCGTCTGATGGGCAAACGGGCCGAGTGCCGGAGCTCCTGGGGCGGGCTTGGGGCTTCTCCGCTGCTCTGCCCCGGCCCGGGCCGGGGCCCCGTTGCGGGCCCCGCCCAGCCCAGCGCCGGGCTTGTGTGTACTGCCCGGCCGASTCCAGCTGTTCCGGATGCTGGGCGGGGGCCCGTAGGGGGCCGGGCTAGGGCTGGGGCTGGGCTCTCAGAAACTCGCAGGGAGGCTGGGGTTCCAGTTAGGCTGACCGCTGGGGAGCCCTATGGCCTGGAATCTGTGAATATTAGATGGGCATTTTGTGTGCATCGTTACTTGAAGGTGTTTATGTTTTTGAATATGCGTTTTTGTGTGTGGTTCTCCATGTGTATATTTGTGTAAACCTATGTGAACCTGTGGGCATGTTAGTGGGTTTGAACCTCAGCTATGTGTTTCATTTCCCTGAGGCACAACAACGGGGCTGTGCCCTCAGCCCTCTTCTCTCTTGTTACCCCATCTGGTCGGTTTGTGTCTGCCCCTAATTTTCCATTTCTGCCCTTGGAGAAAGGGGAGGAAGAGGGATTTGGAGCCAAGGGAAGTTCTCCCTGCTCACACACAGAGGCACAGACTCTACCGGCTTTGTTTGTAGTGCGGGTAGTGTGGTTAGTGTGGTTGGACAGCTTAAGCTTGAACCAGAGGAGGGACCAGAGAGGCCAGTTTGAGGTTTCAAGGCCTAGGGCAGAGGTTGTTGGAATAAGAAGAATGGAACTTCTTTCCCCTCATACCTGCCCTGGAGAGGGAGTGGACTGAGCTGGGCTATGGAACAGAGAGCAGATTCTCTCCCTGCCTCCAGTGGAGAAGCAGCTGAACACCAGAGATTGGTTTATCTCACAGTTAGTTGTGTTTGGAGTCATGACTTGCAGCTCTCTGGAGTAATAGGGATGGATTAGGGAGACCGAATTCTCCTGTGGGGCCCTAGTGCTGACCTGGAGCATGCTTGAGAATGTTGGAAGGAGCTTGATGCTTCCTTCCCCACCTTTGCACTGGATTTTGGAGGAAGGACAGGTGCTCAGAGGAAGAAATGGTGTAAAGAGGGATTTCAGATCTCACAGAGCTGCAGATCTATTCCTGGGCCATGCCTGTTTCTGAGGCATCCCTGCTACCCTGAAAGCCACAAGGAGATTCTGGGCCTAGAAATAGTAGAGTCAGAGTCTAGGAACTGGTGAAGAACAGAAGAGAGAAGGGGAAGATTTGGAAGGGGGAGGGCAAGATAGGTCTGCCCTCTTCTTTCACTTACCACATTTAGAATCCCATCTCATCCCTTTCCTACCATAACCTCAACTTCCTGACCAGAACCTCAGTCAAACTCCATATCAGAGAGATCTCTCCAGATCTGGGACTGGGAACTTTGAGTTCTATCCTAAGGTGAGGGTATCCTCCCATACCTGCCCTCTTTCCTTTCCTGTTACTTTATTCTCTGCAACTGATACTGGCCAGAAGGACTATGCCTTAGGGAAAAGCCCAGCAGCTGCTATTGCCCATCTCCCAGTCCCCAAAGACCAGTGAAGTTCAGGATTACTGAGAGACTTCTAGGAAGGGGTGGAATGTGAACTGAGGAGCRTGAGAGTCTTGTTCCCTGGGACCTTTAGTTTTTAGCCACACTATGTCAAAGTGGGGACTACATTACACCATCCTTTGATGTATCACCTCCACCCACCTTCACCAAATGTCTCCTTCCCTGGGTGGCCCAGCCCTGCTACATTTGGTTCATCCATCTAATCAGTTGGCCTCTTGGCTAAACATGTTCAGGAGCTCTGCATATTTAGGGGTTCCACCTAGTTCTTTGTTGTTTCAATTTATTTTCCCAGGTCTTCTCATCCAGGCCACCTTGGAAAATCAACCTAACGGTYCCAGCAACCTTTTCCCCACCCTGTGGTTCTACCCTATCTCCACCCCTAAAGTGTGTGCCCAGCTAAGACTTTCTGGACTCCTAAGAGTCCAAATTCTCTGGCCTCCCACACCCTTCTTGCAGAGCAGTGAGGTGTATTTTGGGTTTGGGATTGGACTCCCTCCTCTCTGCCACCAGACTGAGATCCTTGAGTTTGATGATTCCATCCATCCCAGACTGAAGGACAACTGTTATTGGTTGAATAAGTTTCCATCAAGCAAACAGGGTTCAGATGGCTGGGGAATGACTTGGGCCAAGACTGTGAGACTCTAAAAGAGAACTAACCAGTAGGGGAATGGAGGTTGGTTGGAAGGAACCCAACCATCACTTTCTAGACTCTAGTYTTTCTGCCCAACTTTCTGCTAAGGAAAAGAAGACACTTAGAGGTTCCCCCACCCCTAGCCAACTGGGACATTGTCTTTTTACCTGGAGCTGTAAGAAACCGATCCCCAGAGTCTGCTCCATAGAGGAAGTGCTCATTTTCAGAGCCAGTTGTACACCATATCTGACCTTTTTTTTTTTTTAAATGGGATAGAGGCTTTTTTTTTTTTTTTTTTTTTTGTACTGGGGATTTAACCCAGAGGCATTTTACCACTGAGCTACATCCCAGTTCTTTTTTATTTCTTATTTTTAGACAGGGTCTTCCTAAGTTGCTTAGAGCTTCACTTACTTGCTGAGGCTAGCGTCACCCCCCACCCCCCACCAAAGTCGCTGGGATTACAGGCATGAGCCACCATGYCCAGCAGCATATTCTGACTCTTGAAGTCTCCTTTACTTCCTATAAGGCCAGGGTCTAGCCTTATTTCATCTCTAGTGGAAGGGGAAGGGAACATTCTACCCAAAATCTGTCTGCCCCCTTCCCAGTTTAAGGAAGATTCTGGACAAAAAGAAAAGAAAGAGCATTCATTCACAAATGGCCATGATAAGGGGACCCAAACAAAATGAATAATTCTTTAGCACAGGAGAGAAATTCACTTATACCCCTGGGGCTCCATCTGATCGATCAGTCTATATTGTTTGGGTGGCCCCATTCATTTCCAGGTTCTTTGTGTAAGTACCACCCTTAAGCCAGAATTCCTTCTGAARGAAAGAGCCTGACTCCACTTAAAACAAGTCAACTTGAGCATTGCTCTGGGTCACATTTTCTCATGTAGAGCTGCTACTCTTGACACTCCATATGGAATTCAGAAAGTGCTTTCTGTGCTATAGAATTAGCACAGATTAGGTGGCCTCCTGTTATCCTGACTGAGCCAGGACTGCCCAGTAGTCCTTACATTCAGCCCAGGGTACTATCTGTAGCAACAACCGTAATAACTATGGCAATAAATACCATAAGCCCTGAATCCAGGCTGTTTTATTTATTTCATTTATTACAACCTTTGAGGTAGCTACTGCTATTACCCCTATTTTACACATAAGCAGGAGCCTAGAGAAGTTCTCTGGGGCCCAGAGAAGTTCAGTAACCCATCGTCACACAGCTTGTTTTGAAGTGATAAGGACTGGAATTTTTTTTTTTTTTAAGACTCAAGTCTGTGCCCTTAATCCCTGAACTATGAGGTTCTTAATCAGAGATCCCCAAGGGCTTTTTGAATGGGCTTCAGGAGTTCTGCAAACCCCAGAAATTGTGTATAAAATTCATATGTGAGCCCTGATGGGCATATTTTTTCTGGGGCTAATATTACATAACACACTAGAGTCTCAAAAGTGTTGGAAATCCAGAAAAGGTAAAGGCCAGAATCAGGCCAGTGGGGAATGGGAAGTTGTCTCCTCCCAGGCCTGGGGAGGGGAGCCAGCTGCTCCAAAATTCAGTCTGGGTTCCAAGCTGGCTTCTGAAATTGCCAGGCTTTCTCTAGCTAAGCTTAGCTTTCAGGACCTCTGGTGAGGTGAGGCAGGGGCAGGATCTGAGGGCTGGCCATTCCTTTGAAGAGCACCCCCTTCCCTGCTCATTTCCTCCCTACTTCTTTTGTGAACTGAGTTCCTTCAGAACCTAATGTCTAGGTGGCTACCCACATAAGAAGCTTCTTCTGGGAACTTCAGCCCTATATGATGGGAGGAGCTGACTGTTCTTTGGAAGTATGAAGGGTATAACCTGATAACGGAGTGACAGAAATAGGCAGGTATGGGAAGACTTACCAGGAGGTTACTCAAGTCCTGGGTGCCCATGCTATGCGACCACCAGAATAGTCTTCTATTTTAGTCCCAAGCCTTTGCCCCCTTTATCCCAAAGCCAGAAATGTCTCTTCCTGATACCTCTTGCCCTGTGCTTAATGCCCAATTCATTTCCTTGGAGAAACCTTCCCTGCCCTGTCCAGCTCCTCAGCACACCCCCTCGGGGCCACTATCACGTTGCTAGGAACATGTTGGATTTGTCCATCCTCCCTTCTTCCTCTCTCTCTCTCCATTTGGCTGTGAACTTACTTAGGGAGGATGAAAATTGAATTTCCTCTCTATGCCCCTATGCCAGGCTGGCATATACCAATGTCTCTCYCAAGCACTTGCTGAATGTATAAACTAAATTAATAAAATAAGAGACAAASAGAGAACCAGGCAGGGCTCTCAGCCTATTTGCCGGAATGAGGACTAGGGATACAAGGGAAGGGTAGGTGCATCATTTTTTTTTTTTTTGCCAGCTGTGAGCAGATGTTTGAGGCACCCTGCTGCTTACACCTCCAATGCGCAGAGGGGCAGAGACCTCATTCTTTAATGACTTTTGGCTGGGAGTGGAGTGCTGGGTTCCAGATCCAGCTGTGGTGGTGTGATCTGACTTAGGAATGAATTTTGTTCACACTGATTTTTGTTTTGTTGTGTTTGTTTTGAAAACTGGAAGTAGAGAGGAAGAACAGACTAAAGATGGGGAGTGGTAGGAGTAGCAAGAAACAGACACCATTCCACCCCCAATAGTCCAGGGGGTCTGTCAAGAGGGTAAAGGAAGCTAAGTGTGTGGAGAGAGGGGCTAGTTCTGTTTCCACTAGAGGTAACATTTGAGTGGAACTTGGAAAAACCAGAAGCATTTGAATAGGTGGGGAAGCAGGAACCATTTTGGAGGCAAGGGGGAATAGTCAGAGCCCAGAGGTGTCAGCCCAGAAGGGAGCTGGAGTGTCACCATACCTTTTCCCTCTGTTGCCTGCTGGGGTCCAGATGAAATCCATGGTCCCTTGTACACCCTAGTGGGTTTGCAGGCTTGGGGCAGTGATTGGTGGGCTCTTGGGATAGCTGTAGGGCTTGGAGGAGTCCTTGAGAGAGTCTGTGTCAGGCCCTTATGGATGGTTCCTCTCTGGCTGCTTCAGAGCTGACAGTTCTCTCTACTAATCCAGTGGGCCCAAGAACTCCAAGAACAGAGCAAAATCACTAATGATAGTCAGCATCCTCCATTCCATAGAGGTCTCATAGCCTTTGGGAAGGCGCCAAGCACAGGCCAGCAGCGGGGTTTGGTGGAAAGACACAGGGACCAAGGGAGAGAGTCCAGGAAATGGAAGAGAGAGCCCGCCCAGGCAGGCGGGGGGGGGGGGGGTGGGGGGGGTGGGGGGGCAAGAAAGGCCTGAGTCAGGCTTCTCATAATAAACAGCACGTGAATAATTCAGGAGCGGCCCAGGGGCTCATAGCTTTAGAACCGAGGCAGTTCCTGCAGCCCCACAAGTCCCCACAGAGCCCAGGGGGCCACTAATGCACTAGAGGAAGGGGGCAGTGTAGAAGATTCCCTACTGCTTGGTATCCTAGGTTATGCCCAGGCTGAGTTCCAAGAGCCTTGGCATCCCTGATCCAACCGTCAAAGGCAGACTGCAGGACATTGCTACCCCAGCCCAGCGGCAGGACCGAGGCCAGAATAGGGCAAAGAGAAGATATGAGTGGCTGACCTGCAGAAAGTCTGGCAGCCAAACTACCCAACCACACCAGGAACATGGGCTGCGAGCCTCGAAGAAAAGTGGCAAGACAGTTTTGGTCCTGAGCTTGGATCCAGTATCCTTGGGGGATTCGTCCAGTGAGGGATTTTCTTTGCTATGGAAGTGAGGCACCAAGTAAACCTCAGGGCCCTCCACCGGCTCTGGACCGCCTGGTCTCCTGGCCTCTGTTCCCACCTCTGGGGGGGGGGGGTCCAAGTTTGGATGTGCCTCAAGCATCTGTTTTGTCCCGGGCCTCAGCATTCACCTCGGTGCGGGAAGTGAGTCCTAGGCTGCTGGGCATGTAAGAGAGAAGAGTGAAGCCTTATTTCGTTTGAGCAATACCAGCTAGTTCCCTTTGGTGCTTCCCATGTGTCAGTGGGTTCCTAATCTTGAGGGACCGCACTCACCCCATCTCATTTCCAACAACACCTCCAMTTTCTCTAGTTCCTGTCCACGCCCTTCATTTCTACTAGGTCAACCTAACCCTGTATTCGGCCTCTGACTGCTTTACCCACACAACCTCCCTCACCTCGGTGAGTCTCCGACCAATACGCTCGCACAGGCTCCGCAGGCTCTCCAGTCCAGGGCAGGCGCAAGGAGGCCCCTAGCCGGACTTCAGGTATGACACCAGGGAAGCAGCTTCCCTCTGCCCTCTGCCCCAATTTTCCTCCTTTTGCTTATGGCTCATCCTCTTCATCTTCCCTCCGCCTCTACACATTTCTTATTCGTTTTTCTTCGTTTGGAGAGGTATGGCGGCCGAAGCCCGGGCCCCTGGGGAAGTCTGGATTTACTCTGGCGCTGGTGGCTCCGGTTTGACAGCCAAATCTCCATCCCAGGATTCCTAGAGGCTCAGCAGGGCAGCTCAGGTGTCTATGGAGATGCAGATGAGGTGGAGTGATGGCACTTTGACCTCACACTGCTCCGCTGCTGGCTGTAAGATTTTGGTAAGTTCTTTTAACCTCTTTGCCTTGATGGTAGCAAAGGGCAGGAGACTTAGGGAAGGGTGACGGGAGCCTAAGCCTTTTACTTTTTTTTTTTTTTTTTTTTTTGGTGGTGGTGCTGAGGATTGAACCCAGGGCCTTGCACATGCGAGGCAAGCACTCTACCAACTAAGCTATATAACAAAACAAAACAAAACAAAAAAAACCTTACCTGCCTTGGGGCTTAAGGAGCAAGTGAGATTCAAGGAAATTCTAGGTCTGAAATGACTATTTATTTAAAAGAACATTTAGAGAGCAATTGGTAGCTGCTACTTGTTTTTCTTTCTTCATTTATCTTTTTTTTTTTCTTCTTCTTTTGTAAACAGCCGATGAGGTGCCAGGCATTGGACTCCTTCTCTCCAGTTCTCACCGTCTCTATTTTGCAGAAGAAGAAACACGTGAAGGTCTCATCGCTCTAATCAGCCTCACAAGGGGCATTCGAACCCAGATCCAGTTAGAAGCCTCTGCACTTTAAGCCTTTGCGGTCTTGCCTTGGACCCAGGGCCAACTAAGCCCAGAGGAGTTGGGTTGAATTCTCAAGCGTTCGTCCCCTGCCCCTCCTGGCTCTAGGAAAGGTTTGAAAATTTTATTTTCGGGCTAACGATTTTGGCGGCGCCTAAAGAAGGACGGAAGTGAGACCAAGGAGGAACCTAAGTTACAGGCGAGCCCCTAGGGAGGCGGCAGCGGCAGGGTCGAATTCAAATCCCTTCTGGACTTGTGCTCTTTGGAGTCTGTCCTAGTCTGGCTGTTCTGTGGGGCCTATTTTGGGACAGTCCTGGACCAAGAGGGAGAAGAAGCCGAAGCAGATAATTCCCCCACTATTCCTCTCTCTCCAGGGGCACCTCGCTGGGGTCGGATCCCTAGCTGGAGGAGGGGTTGGCTGTTGGGGAGCGGAATGGAAGCATAAGCCTAGGAACCTCCGGGTGGGCGGGGAGGGACTGGAGTCAGGCTCTCCGGCGACCAGGTACCAAGTCCTAGCGCATGGTCGCTTTGTGGCAGCCCCAACAGGCCACGCGTACCTCGCCACAAGTCCCATTACGTTGTATTTATGCTTCAGTTTATTGTCTCTCCCCCTCTCTTATTATGGTCTCACTCTGGGGGAGGCAAAGGATATAATATATTCATCTTTATTATACCAAATCTGTGTGAAGCATTTAATAAAATGCTGTTTCCGCACAGCCAGGGATGTTAGTGTGAGCCATTCTTAAGTACTGAGGGCGCCTCCGCCACAGCGCCTGCTGCCGGCGGATCGTGGGAAGTGCAGGCCCCTGCCCGCAGGTGCCTGAGCCCACCCAACGTCCGTGACCTTCTCTCTCTCAGGTCCCAGCCCCCACGCCCGTCCTAGTCCGTCTCTCCCGGACTCCTCTAGCTTTAGCCTGACAGAAAGGGCTCAGAAGAGCCAAGGTCAAGCCCCACTATGTTCCTAACCCTCTGTGAGCCTTGCTTTGTTCCTATGAAAATTAGAAGTCCATCACCTTCTCCCTTGCAGGGCTTTTGGGAGACGGAAGATGATGTAAGGATGGACAAAATTTTATAAATACGAAAAAAAAATCGAGAATTTGAGGGGAGGGGATATGTGAGGGCCAGAGAGGAAACAAGGAGGCTGCAGGAGYGGTTCCAGGTAGCAGAGACAAAGCTGGACCCCAGGGGAGCAGATGAATGCAGCTACAGTTTGAGAGGAGCTCGGAAGGTTTCAGCAGCCTGGGCATCACTCCMGGCGATGAACCTAAAAAGCATCTCTATTGGTTTAAATGCACCTGGCATCGTCCTTCCTGCCTAGTCATTGTTAGTCCCGTGTACAGCTAGCAAATGGAGGCTCTGAAAGATCAAGTGGCTTATTTGAGGTGACCTAGCTAGGAAGTAGTATATAAAATGATACTGTCTTCCAGACTCCATGTCCCTCCCTCACCTAGCCCTCCTACTTCCTGTTCCTAACAACCCACCCCATCATCCAGGGTTTACCTACAAACTTCATGTTCTACCATACACACACACACACACACACACACACACCCCTACCTGAAGATGCCCTAGGAAGGAGAAACAGTCTCATGATTTTCCTTAGCCAAGCCCACTGCCTGGGTACTTTGAGGGCCCAGATTTGGACACATTGTCTGATTTAGGCTGTTTGTACCAGTGCACAGACAGAGCTGGCATTTAGGATTTAGGCCAGGCCAGCAGGAAGACCTGTGCAGGAGAGAGTTGAAGGGGCAGGGGAATCTCTCTGACTAGGATGAATCCCCCCCACAATTGTTGATTCTTCTCTGTCCCCATCACCCCATCCTTGGGGGTAGGGGCTGTACCAGGTCACCCATATCCTGAGGGCTGCTTGTGGGAGATTCTTTGGAGGCTTAAGGTACTGGAGGAACCTGACAGTTCCCCCCTAGGCTAGCTAAGAAGGGTTCAGACTAAGGGTATGGCAGGGCTAGGACTAAGGTGAGGAAAGCAGGCACCTAGAACCCAGAATTTAAGAAGGCATTTGCCCTCATTGTTGTRTAGATCCCTTAAATTTTGTGCTTCACCCTCATCCTGGCTCTGTTATGTGTTCCCAGGAGATGGAACTCATGACCAGGGAACTAGAAGCCTGAGTTTAGCTCTTCCTTTTGAATGGCTGTCTGAGGGTAGAAGTATAAAAATGGAAAGAGCCACCTTTTGTGGGAGTGAACTTCCTCTAAGAACACATAGTGTGCTTAAGCTGAGTWTAGAACCTTCGGAAAAGAATAATAATCTCAGGCTTATCATCATCACCATCATCATCCTCTTAATCATTCTGTCATCACTTTTTGTCAAGTAAGAGCTCTCTACCTGGGCTGGGGATGTGGCTCAAGTGGTAGCGTGTGCCTAGCATGTGTGAGGCACTGGGTTAGATTCTCAGCACCACATAAAAAAATAAAATAAAATAAAGATATTGTGTCCACCTAAAAAAAACCCTAAAAAATAAATATTAAAAAAGAGCTCTCTACCTGTGTTATCTCATGTAATATATACAATGTGTTTTGGCTGAGGATTCTCTGAACTTTGGGGTCCTTTCTGGCTCTAAGAGTCTATTGTTTCCTAACACAAAGAGCATCTTGGTGGTTCTGGTTGGTTGGTTCACTGCATTGTAGTTATTGTATGTGGGTTTGTCTCATGACCCATGTTAATGGGTAAGCTCTTTGAGGGAAGGGCCTGTATCTGATCCCATTTTTTTATTCCCTCTCCTATTACATGCCAAGCACAGGCCTGGGCACATAGCCAATTTATAATGAATATGTACTGAGCAAACCCMTGAGTAAACCAATGTCTAAAAGCTGTCTGTCTGGCCATCTGCTTTCCAGGCTGTGACCAACAAAGTCATCAGAGTAGCCACTGGGAGAGCCAGTACTACCTCTGCTGTAATTGTCCTCTTCTCTACAACCAAGCTAAGTTCAGGCAGATACTACTAGAGCCTCCCCCAACAACATGTGCCCAGCCCTATGCTAGCTGGTGGGTAAGGCAAGGGCCAGCCCAGAGTTTGCCTGTACAGAAAGACCTCAAGACTGAGTCCTCATGAGAAGTCATTCAGGTGGGGAAAGGATCTATGAGAGATCAGAGTGGGGAAGGTTCCTGGAGCCATGATGTCCACCTGGCAGAGCTGAGTCTAGAATTGGTCCTTGAAGGATGGGAAGGATCGAGTGGTTGGAGTAAAGAAATGGAGAGTTCCAGGTTGGAGTCAGGGGGAAGCAGTGCAAAGGGACAGAAGTAGGAATGTCCACAGTAGTTTTGGGGCATGGGCAAGCTGGCCTGSCTTGAGCACCAGAGGATGATAAGTGGGAAATGACATTTAGTGTCCAGGCCACAGCTAGAGACCAGAAAATGGAGTTCAGAAACCAGGGCCTAGAAGTAAGATCTCAAGGACAAAGTCCAGGATCCAATCTTGTCCAAAGCTCTTCCCTTCTTTGTATAAGAGGCCACTTTGGTGACACCAAACTCAAAGAAAGTATATGAGTTTATTGGGGAACAAGATGGACTCTTCTAATTGGTTTGGCCTGGAAATTCAAGCCCAGAGCCAAGAGCAGCACAGTTCACATGAGGCCTGTCCTCCCCAGGTGGGGCATGACTAGCTGACTGTCTTGAGTTCCCTCAAATCAGAGTCTAACATCTGGCATCATTTGCACCCTGAACTGGGGCAGGAGTCACCCAGCAGTGTACACCCTCCCACACCTCCATCCTCCCCACCACCCTCTGAGACAGGTGGGATCTGAAAGTCTAGGCTGGGCCCAGCTGGGCCAGGCCACTGGAGGGTGGAGCTGCCGTGCCTGTGGCGGTGCCAACTGAGCCAGCGTGTAGGCGTTGCTGCGCGGCCTGTCGCAGAGCGCAAGCCTGCCAAGGAGCCGGAGCGCTGTGCTGCGTGGAGGGTGTCAGGGGTGGTATTGTCGGCGCACAAATGCTCAACTTTATGTACTTTTAACTAGAGGTGTAACAGATGGCCCCGTTTCTGTCCAAGCCAGGGAGACTGGTGCCCATTCCGGCTGCAGCCAATCAATCCCGCCACTCTGGGGGAAGCTACAAGCTGGGCTGGGAGGCCTGGAGCCAGCAATCGCACAAGGCTGTCTGCTCGGGCTGGCCCAGCACTGCCTCCGCCAGCCGCTCAGCCATGGGCCTGGGGAGGTAGGAGGGCAGGCAAGTGGTAACCCTGCCTGGAGCCTGGTCAGAWGCCTCTCTGGGAAGGAGAACCTGGACCCACCCATTAGGCCCCAAATGGCCAGTGAAGACAATCAAGTCCCCAACTCACCCCACCTTGTTCTCATTCTCCTATGATCCCCTATCAGTACCTAACCCCAAAGCCCTAGCTTCAACCAGCTCCAGATCTGTAACTCTGCAGTGGTTACCAGACATTATTTGGGAGTAGGAGTAGGCAGCGGTGCCATTTGAAGAAATAGTCACAAGATTGTGGATGGCTTCAAAAAACGCCCAAGACAGAGAAGAGGAGAAAAAATAAYAAGCCCAAAGGATCCCAGAGCTGAGAGAAAATGTGAACTAATCTATTTTTACATTCATACAGTCTATCAACAAACACTCATTGAAAGCCTGCTAGGAGCCAAATCCTTTATTAAGCATAAATAAGATAATTCCTGTCCTTGTGATCATCTCCAAGAGAAGGCAGACAAATATATAGGTAGTTGGAGTGCTGAAACAGGACTCAAAAATCTGCAGAAGGACCTTGGAAACACAAAAGCATTTAACCCTGCCAGGGAGATCCAGGGAAGATTCCAGCAACCGGGTGTTTCTGAGCTGGGTTTTCAAAATAGTGGTGYACATCTATAACCCAGTGACTTGGGAACCTGAGACAGGAGGATCACCAGTTTAAAGCCAGCCTGGCCATAGCAAGACCCTGTCTCAAATGAAAAATAAGGACTGGGAATGTAGCTCAGAGGTAGAGTATCCCTGGGTTCAATTGCCAGTACTGCAAAAATAAATAAATAACAGGAGGAGTTTCACAGAGGCAAAGGCAGAAAGGGGCATCTGAGGGGAAGGGACAAAATGCACAGAGATATAATAACAAAGAACATGGTGGTGGTAAGGGTCAGCAAAGACCCAGATGTGCCCGGGATTTGGGATAGAGGAAATGAGGAAGAGAGAGGGAATGAGGCTGGACGGGGAAGTGGCCAGGCCTAGCCATTTCTGTGGTTGGCAACCTGGTCCAATGGGTCTTTTCCCTCAGTTGCTACTGTCACCCACTGCCTCTTATCTTGARGCTAAAGGGAATGAGAAAAGGCAGAGCAAGGTCAACTCAAAGGGGAGGGTYGCTGCTGTCAGTTCTTCAGGACAATCCTAGTCCTGGCCTTCCTTTTTCCTGCGTTGAGGGACAGGGTTGTGAAATCACAGACCAACTCTCCCCTAACCATGTACCCTGTGGACTTCTGARCCTCTTCAAAACAGCCTTTCCAAAGGTTCCCTGGAAAGGGTTTGGACTGGGCTTGGTGTGTAGCTCAGTGTTGGAGTGCCTGCCTAGTATGTGTGAGGGCCTGGTTCCTTCCCAATGTCTCAAAGGGAAATAAAATTCAAAAAAAAAAAAAAAAGGAAGAAAAGGTTTGAACTTTATTTATTCATTTATTATTCATTCACCAAACATTGAACATCAGCTGTGTTTAAAGCCAGGCAGGAAACTGAGGCAGACAGACCATGTTATGGACTGTGAAGAACTCAAGTCCA